TCCCATAACATTTTATTTTATTGAAAAAACAAACAAAAAATAAACAAGGTATTGTATGCAAGTCTAGTGCTGCCCAAACTCATTTTGTTATAATATTAAAATGTTTCACCAGTGGCTTCTAAGGATGAAATATTGTGTCACATCTTAAATTGTAGGGGTAAAGGGTGAACAAATACTTACGATGACAAAAATTTGATTATGATGATAATTTCTAATATTTGCTCACACAAAATAATGTCATTTTATGTGTCACCATGAAACTGTAGAGCCTATCGCTGTTTTGCACTGTCGTAATTACGACTAACTTTCTCGGAATAAGGGTAGATTTTATGTACGTAAAATTAATTCTATGGTCGAATATACTGAGTTATATGCTGTTTTTTTTTTTAATAAACGCTGTTTATGATATAGTCATTAACCTCTGTGTGAACACAAACTACCAGCAACGCAAATATTGAATGATGTCACCGTATAGTCACGCCCCTAAACAAAAATCCTACATCCGACTCTGATATATCCATCATCACTGTTTCGATTTGAGTTCTTGACAAAGTCAGAAAACATCATCACCCTCAGGCTGGCGTCAATATAGTACAATCACGTATCAACCACTGATGGCTAGCATTATGTTCTATTCAGGAACCTGCTTCCGGGCTGTTCCAAATCTTCACGTCGCATGGAAAGTAAAAGTTCGATATCGGCCTGTAGTTCAGCCGGCTCGACTGCAGATTCGTAGCGCTTGTAAGGTATTCCTTTGTGATCGACGAGAAATTTGTTGAAATTCCAAGTTATGTCACCAACTGTAATTGGGCTCCAGTAGAAGAGTGACGGATCACCGATTTCCCGTTTCACTGGAGGACAGTATTCCTACAAAAACAAACTGAAGTCGTTTATAAACGATGTATTGAAATAAAAGACAAACAATGTGAATGTGGCACTCAGAGGCAAACATTAGACTACCGGTATGTTCAAATGACAACAATGTAACATTTCATGTTTTCATGTTTAACATAAATCAACCGAAGAAACATGTATAAACTGTGTTTCAAGTACTATGGTAAAATGATACAATAATGCAATTAACAATGTTTAAAAACAAGTCATATTCATATTAGCATTATTCAACATATATTACACCGGGACAATGTTTCCAAGTGTTAGGTCGCATAACTGCATTAGCTTTTAAAACCCGTCAAAATGACGAACACGCGCTGCGCAACGACTGTTAAGCGCCTAACACAACGAAACAAACACAAAAACATCTATCATAAAATGACTGTACTCGAACCAAGACTCAGTACAATCACGAAGTGTCCAAACGGACGTGCTCACCACACAATCAATCACAAAGCACACATTGGACGTACTCACCATGCAACCAATCACAAAGCACACATTGGGCGTGCTCACCACACAACCAATCACAAAGCACACATTGGATGTACTCACCACACAATCAATCACAAAGCACACATTGGGCGTGCTCACCACACAACCAATCACAAAGCACACATTGGACGTACTCATCACGTAACCAATCACAAAGCACACATTGGACGTACTCATCACGTAACCAATCACAAAGCACACAATGGATGTACTCATCATGTAACCAATCACAAAGCACACATTGGACGTACTCATCACGTAACCAATCACAAAGCACACATTGGACGTACTCATCACGTAACCAATCACAAAGCACACATTGGATGTACTCATCACGTAACCAATCACAAAGCACACATTGGACGTACTCATCACGTAACCAATCACAAAGCACACATTGGACGTACTCTTCACGTAACCAATCACAAAGCACACATTGGACGTACTCATCACGTAACCAATCACAAAGCACACATTGGATGTACTCATCACGTAACCAATCACAAAGCACACATTGGACGTACTCATCACGTAACCAATCACAAAGCACACATTGGACGTACTCATCACGTAACCAATCACAAAGCACACATTGGACGTACTCATCACGTAACCAATCACAAAGCACACATTGGATGTACTCATCACGTAACCAATCACAAAGCACACATTGGATGTACTCATCACGTAACCAATCACAAAGCATACATTGGATTTACTCATCACGTAACCAATCACAAAGCACACATTGGATGTACTCATCACGTAACCAATCACAAAGCACACATTGGACGTACTCATCACGTAACCAATCACAAAGCACACATTGGACGTACTTACCACGCAGCCAATCACAAAGCACACATTGGACGTACTCACCACGCAACCAATCACAAAGCACACATTGGACGTACTCACCACGCAACCAATCACAAAGCACACATTGGACGTACTCACCACGCAACCAATCACAAAGCACACATTGGACGTACTCAATACGCAACCAGTTGCACAATGCCACAGCGGACGTACTCATCACGTAACCAACCACAAAGCACAAATTGGACGACGTCGTGCTCACCACACAACCAATCACAACGCACACATTGGATGTACCCACCACACAACCAATTACACGAGGCCACAGGGGACGGTCGATTAAAAAAATCATTGTTTTTTATCTAGTCTCGGTATGAGCATAACTGTTCCGATAAATAAGCTCACGCTAGAACTGCCATTGCAAACATTTGATTGTAACTAGATTGCAATAAATTAGCTTTACATACATACAAATACATGTCCGAACTTGTCTAAATATGTACATAATATATACTGATTTCAGTTATTTCTTTGTTGTGCTGTAGAGTGAGGGAAGTTTTTTTCAGTTCTCAAACGTGGAAATTTAGTTAGATAAACAATGAGCTGGAGAAATTGTAGCTTACATACAATTATGAGGAACGAGCTAATTTTGTTTGTTGGGTTTGTAAACCTAGCATGTCAATATATTCTACCACGGATTGCGTCAGTCGAAAAGTGCTTAAGTGACGACATCGACGTAGTGGGTTCAAATAATGTCGTTCAAATAGATTTATTTGGTTGTAAAATCGCGAAATTGTGAAGTCATATAATACAAGTACATGTATATATCTCAAACACAGTATTGTTTGAGATATTCAACCGATGGTAATATATTTATAAAATGGCCGCCGTAACATGTTATTTCATAAAACAACTTTGTTTCTATAATATTATTTCGCTAACTTGGTTCATGTTGTCGCTCTCATATTATCCGGATAGAAAGCACATATAACCGGACTGGCAATGTCTGGAATTCATTCTTGTTTCATCTAGAAAAATATATTTTTATTTATTTATTCATCATTGTCTTGGTGGAATAGGGTAATTTAAATTAATCCGTCGAGATATTTTTTCCCAAATGAACAAAACAAAAACAACAACTGTCTGATGAACTCTGAGTGACACCGTGACGATTATGAATATTAGAGCCATTAATACTATAAATTCAATCAAATTTAAACTATACAAAACGTCAATATAATCGTGCAAAATAACCCATTAAAATGGTCACGTTCCGGCGCTTGAGAAAGCAATCATCTCTGCGTATCACATTCATTTCCGTCAATGCACAGAAACACTAATTTAATTGGGCATTTAAACCATAATTACACATTTTGTACTGAATACTGAAAGTTGACATATGTGATTTTATTCTATTTTTTTCAAATTTCGAAAGCAATTTTTGTTTTAGTGATATCTGCTAAAATAGTTATAAGCAATTTTATTTGAAAAATGACACAAATCTGTACTAAACTAACCTGATTTCGCATCGAAAATTGTAATATAATGACTTTGAAAACACCTGGTAACCATCACCTGGTAACCATCACCTGGATCATTTACGTTTGCAGGTTCATAGTAATACTTAATTAGTAGTAGGTTATTTGAATCAAATTCGAGAGGTGGGGGGGGGGGGGTAAATGACTCTGAAGCGGGTTGGACTACAGCGGTGAAATGACCCAAAGTATTCGGCTGATCTGCACTGGCTCGGAAGATGAATTCTGATTGGCTAAAAAAACAAAAAAACTTGTGGCGTTGAATGCACGTTCATTGTCAGTATTGTTATGCAATTTCAAACTAGCTAATCATTTACAACCTTCCGAGCCAGTGCAGATTAGCCCAAAGTATTCTGGTTCAAGTTCTAATGAACAAATATACGGATATGTCACCCTTCACACATTTAAGCCTATAGTTTGGTCTATCCAAAGCAATTATATTAAATAATTAATACAGCCATGAAATAAAATACTGCATTATTCGGCAGTCATTTTTGGTATCACGTTTATAACATGACACTATAATATGTATAGTTCAATGTAGAAAACCCGGAACATTGGCTGTACCGAATTCGGAATTATGGAATATTCAGACCACGACACAGGGTCATATAAAACAAATTATAAACACAAAACTTTTCAGAATAGTCAACGAAAAACAACCAAAGAGGTAAAAGTTCAATAATAAATTGGACACGTACAGACAATTAAAATTCGTTTTATTGAGATTAAAATAAATACTCTAGCACAGTGTGACCGTGACATACACATATTTTTAGTTTCAAAAAGTATTTTGCTAATTTCTTTTTAAAATTATAAAATCTCTGGTAGGAATGATTATCCATGCCTGAAATATGATACACCGACTACTAAGCCCTTGTAACATTAAATATCACATCACGGATATAACATTACGTCACATATAATTGATAACGATAGCGGCATTCACGTGACGTTAGAGATTTCGGCGCATGTCGAGATCCCCATAGCAGATGACTCCACGCATCTTGAAAACAATAATTTTTCATAACTTACAAATCATCAAATATTTCACTTTTTCTGTATGTCACTTCGAAAAAACTATGGTTTTATAAAATCAGCCACAATATCAGTTTAAAAATGATAACCTTTATTTTTTTTAGATAGCTTTCACTTCATTATCGTCAGTTCATGAACACAAATGAAATACTAGCATAATTTTAATGCATGCATAGTCATTGTCTAAGTTCCCGACATTCACTGTATACGGGTCTCCCAATATACGAAAACATAACACTATTTTAATTAGTTTTAACAGAGGTACATTACTAGGGGTTTGCAACTCGCATAGTACTGTATGGTGACATCATGTCAAGATCCCATTGAATTCTCATCTCGTAGATAGCGAGACTGAGGCTACGACCTTCTGACATGATATATATCAATGTTCAAGGTTTGTAATGAAAAAATAAAACTTTTCTTGCCACTATCATAGTGAAAAATGTAATACATCAAAAATGTACAGAAAATATAGTTCTCGTAATCCGTCATATCGTGGGCAGCTATTTTGATCCACCTGGACATCCCAGTATCCTAGTTACCTCGGGCATGCGCATTCGCATTTTTCTGAGTTGGAATGCTTATGCGAGAGAGAGAGATTGTAACGGGATCTTGGTATCATGTCACCGTAGTTGCAAACCCCAAGTAATGTACCTCTGTTTTAATTATTATTGTTATGATTTATGTGCAATGAAGCACTGGGCCGACCGTACTTGTTTTCATATAATATTGACAGATTAATTAAATTATTTTGGGCAACCCGAAATCATAAAATGCGGAAACCAATTTCAAGTACGCATGATGTGTTCAGCCCACTAACATTTGTATGGGCAATTGACATTTTCCGTTCACTGCGAGAATCACGCGTGAAATCGAAAGTAAAAACAGGACAAACACAGGTCATAGCGTCGTAGTGGCGTCAAACATCGCGTGTGATTAGACAAACGTGAAAGTATTTTGGGGATATTTCCATGCTTAATAATGTGCTGTAAACATTTGATGATAGGCAATTTTGATGAAGTAAATGTATTCGAAAGCAATATTCCCCCGTCGAAGATCGGCCGGTCGACGTAAGCTACGAAATAAAGAAAATCGAGTTTAAAATCAAATCGTTCGATTTTTGCGGCAGACATTCGACGCGCGTCTTTCATGCAACTCGCGATATCTCGCAGTTGAACGGAAAACCACCTATTAGTAATGATATGTCGCGTTTCTTTTAATGGTTTTTCAGAGAAATACATTACACAGAACACAGATAAAAACATATGCCAGATGTTCGTGATGATCAAAGAATATCGTCAACGCACAGCAATATCAGTTAAATAAATTAATGTGTGTGTGCGTGCGTGAAGTGTGAGTGTAAAAATAAAACATATGACGATTTGCTTTTTTGAACTGTATGGAGAAAACACTTGAACATTCTCACCTTAAGATGGGTAAACAAGGGGTGTGCGTTTCTTCCATTCACCTCAACCTTGGCGTATATTTCAAAATTGGGTTCAAATCCTCCACCTGGGCGGACACATTTTAGGCCGGGTAATATTTCAGCGTTGGTGCCGGGTTCCTGTAGCTCAAACTGGTTGCATGGCAGGGCGATTAGATTGAAACCTTCGGTGTACTTGATAACGAGTGCTTTCATGCCGTAATACTGATACGTAAACGCTCAGTATGTCGCAACGTTCACCACAAGCAAGACATCACCTGCCAGGGTGTTTAAACTGACGTTTTGTTTTTCATTGAGCGTCAATAAAGATATGTTCTTATCGTAGATCGATGCGGCGTCGTCGAGACATCTCCCTTGAAGGTGTCCAAACACAGCTTGCCCGATGAGGCCGCATACAGCGAGAAAGAGTAGAGCACTCCGTGCAATGTTTTCTCCCATCTTGACGGTACTGACGGTGTGTGAAATGCGAGACGGGTAATTATAATGTAGTCATTTGCATGGCGGTTATTCATGAATACGGCCGAGAGTAACCCAACGAGCATGCGCAGTCTAGTTAATGTCCTCCTGCCACGATATTACAACGTTGCTATAAATAAACACCCGGATAGTGTATTAGGTAAGATGCCGGACCCGAAGCGTACAGCTCAAACTGACACAAAATCAATGTATTGGACGAAAGAAAAAATATCACAAAAGAACCCTAGTCCTGGCTTAAGCAGCTTGAGAGTATTTGGTTTCTACAACCTCTACAGAATATTTAATATTGAAAATAATAATATTAAAAAAACAAAAAAACAATAGTGGTACCAGACAGAGATCTTAACATCATAAACGATTTTTCAAAATTTATAGATTTTTTAACAAAACTCTACAAATACGTTTTTACATCAATCACCGACCATATCATCCTATATTAAGAACTCCTAAGCTTAACTTCTCATTAGATGTGTTAGTACGTGACTCGGCATTGTGCGAGTCGCTGGTACATGTATCACCTATTCATCATATCACTCAGGATCGGCATGGAAGGTACTAGTACCTTCCATGGGATCGGTTAATTATTTCCCGGGGTAGACAAGACAGAGGGGGGTCAGTACTGCGAGTACAGTGGCGGATCTAGGGGGGTCCTGGGGTCCGCCCCCCGTTGAAAAAAAGTAATACTATTCAATTTGTTTTTGTATAATATAAAAAAATCATTAACTTAGTCTGGCGATTTTAAAGTTTGGACCCCCATAACAAATCCTGTATCCGCACCTGGAGTGAGTTTATTGTGTTCAATGATACAATCCTATAGCTAGACATTTTCCAACACGTTCCAGTAGTACGGACATCTTACATACGAGTCATGTCACTCATCGAAGTAACGAATATAATTTGTTCACAACTTACATCTAAACTGGACCAAACACAGCCGTCACTCACAATTAATTCATCGACTAAACAGCGATCAAAATTAACAACCCGCATGTATTTTAAGCGAGATCGCGCTTGATTTAACAAATTAGCGCCTCACATACCCATTTTCTATAATGATTTGAGGCACAGGTACCGCGGAGTTGTGATCATTTTAGCGATAATATCGTGTGGTTTTAAGCAGTAAATGCTTTCAGTGTGAAAAGAAATTGTAATTTATCACGTGTTTCCGTAGGTTTTAAACAGGCTTAAGCAAACTGGAAATCTCTCATTTACAGCGGACTCCGTCTGAGCACCTTGATCCAGAGTATACTGCCAACACTCTCTAATGTTATTTGCCATACAAACCATTTACAACAATTATTCCCTATTTCATCCTATCAACAACAGTTTTCCGAGTTACGTTTAGCATTTACCTACCTTGAACGGAATAGGTGCGATGTACTTTTGGAAAACACCTTTCCAATAAGACTCTATAGCCTCTAGCGACGAATCGATTCTGTGACGTCAATATGACGTAGATGAGTGCAATATCAACTCTGTCTGGTAGTGTATGTGTTTTTTTCATATTGAATGTATTAACGTATAACTATCAATAAAAACGCTACGACAGATTCGATTATTATACGGGAGAGCCAATGCACTGCAATTTTCTAGCTGCAGTAGTGAAGTTAAAATTACATTGTTTTGAACCTTTTGTTTTTTTCACAGCTTTGGTTTCAACATAATCGAAAACTATTTATGATCTCCGTGTTGCGTATAATAATGCATTTCGTTTATTCCTGGACATCTGGCATATGGTGCGTCTTTTCACTCTATATTTGATTTGTTCTGCATGTGTTGGCCCTGAGATGATGAATTTGAGATCTTTACCAATCGTTGATAATCTTATTCTCCTAGGTGTGCATACTTGACAACAACGCTGTTTCAACTAATAAAGTTTACACTCGTACATAACGATCTAGACTAGCACTGAATGCACGTCTTGCGTGTGTCAATCTATTAAAAGCACTGGCGTCAACTCAAAAACAAAATAGTAACTTTAGGCAAACACTCAAGCAGATTAGAATGAGTTATATCAAAGATTTTGACTCAAAGATTTGTATGATAATACATTTTGCGCGAAGCAACGACCAAATATATTTTTGCAGATTTATCCACTTTTCCTGAGTGCCGATGTGAGCTGCCTGGCACGTTTGACCAAGAAATGATAATGAGCCGTGGTTTCTTGCGAACCTTCGAGAGGTCAAAATTCTTTCAATGAAAAAATTATATCATGTAAAAAATAGTAACTTTGGGCCACACTCCAGCTAAGTAGATTGTGATATGTCCGAAGTTTTTACTCCAAGCTTTGAAGGAAGGTATTCACAAATCGTTTTGTGGCTGTTGCTATGACAATAATGGACCAGGGTTTGTTTCAGAATATACCATCAACTTGGAGTGAAGGTGTGACCTGCTTGCCAAGTAGTAAAATATATAGTAATATAGTAAAATTAACCGAAGCGTTATATCTAAATGAAGCAGATTTTAATAAAATTATTGTGGATTAATTTAGAAAAATAACATCTAAAAACATAAAATAAAATGTGCTTAGTGAAAATGACAATAACAACATAAACGGTCATGGAATGTCCAACTTGTTTCTCCGAAATCACACAGCAAAAATCAATGAAGTTTTAACTGGATGGCGACACCGTTTGTATTTTTAATTACCTAAAGTAGTGTCTAAACATAACATATACTAAAACAAAGTAAGTCAGATACAATGTAGCCGATGATTAATATATACGTGTTTGACGCCGATTACTATAAACGAAAGAAGTCACATTTACCGCCGCCAGGCGTACTGTTGATAACAAGCGCCATTCGTTTGACGACAGATCCTTATTGATACAGTATTATACCAACGGTTGGATTTTTGACAAGCTTCCAATAATCTTTTATAAACAAAACAAAATGATATACGCTGCTCATGTTAAATTGTCGAGCTTAATCAATTTCCCATGTAATGGTTAAAGCGGGAGAGTCGTCACCTGCGCACGCGCGGGAATTGAATCCCAAGCGACGATAACAACAGAGCTAAAATGCAAAGGCTCATTGGTAGACGCTTGTTTGTAAACAATGACACGCTATGGCCATCTTACGCATGCGCAGGTGACGACTCCCTTGCTTTAAATAAATAGTGTTTAAAAATCACAAGTACATTGTGATTAAAGCGAATATAAACAACGTAACATGCATCGGAGAACACGTGATGGCGCTACTCTGGTATGTAGCAAACCCTTGCAATGGCGCGAAGTCTCTGTACGCCACTTTTGGGTAGTAATCCTGAAAGAAGAGCATCGTCCGGGAACGGTAGTGATACGTGTTTCTAATAACATCGTTGAACTCCAAATATGCATCGTTGGTTACGTTGAAAGGTTCCCATATGGTCCCGTTTAGCGGTGTCGGGGTGGGGTTCCTGAAACCAATATATTAGGTTATAGGTTTTACACAAATTCCATGACGAGACTAAAAAAATATCAACACAACAGTACCGTCATATTTTAACCCGACTCCCTATTTATTTATTTTTTATTAATTCAATACACAGTTCAACGGGCAAACCCAATTAACAGAACTGGAAAAAATAAACAATACATAAAAAAAAACACACATACAAATACAAATACAAGAATATGCATATATACATCAAAATGACAAAGTAACAAAATAAAATTAAAAATAATTATACAGTACTGATATATTAGGTTACATAATAGCTTGATTGGATTATTATTATTATTTATGTAGCTTTGCTAACTAATTATTGAACAGAGTTTGAACAGGGTTTCTCGTTACATGACGAAAAACTTACCACTCAACATAATAAAACACGAGAAGAAGTTCTAGATCAGTCTAGTTTTTGGTGTAAGATATTCAGTGGATCACACGTGACACATTGGAGGAAACAAATAACTTGATTTGAAAAATAAAGCGTACTTACCCATATTTTGCTAAATTTGTGATCGATCTCATAAAAAACTCACTCACTTCTCGGTCTAGATCACTCCAGGAGGGTTGAGTTGACCAAGAGTCCCATTCGCAGACCCACGGACAGGTACGATCCGGTCCCATAAACGGAGTGCCCCAGGAATAAGGCAAGTCACTACTATGAGTAGCTCCTGTAATAGAAGTATTCGGTGATAACGATAACCGTCATGATAATCCTCCAATCGCTCAAATGTTCAGTAGTTTTATCAACTTTTTTGTGATTTCTTTTTTGATTTTGGTCCGCATGGACATAATTTCCCCTTTACTACAGGCAGGAGATTTATGGATTTATTTTTGTAAAAGGTGGTTCGCGACTTGATTATTCACTGTGATTAACCTACTAGTAATAAGTTTATTACGAGAACACCTCAAAATATGCACGAAGACAGTACAGCTGAAATATCGACCGACGTGCAGCGGAGGTCGAAGCGCGGCGTACTGTCTGAGTGCATATTTGAGGTGTT